CTTTTGGGATCCAAATGGAGTCACTTGCTAAAAGGTTAAATTCTAAATGTTGGTGTCAACCGGGAACTTAGCCCGATTCCATAACTTTTACGGAAAATTCACATGTTATTTCGCATGTGAAATTTTATGTGGAATTGGAGCATTTCACAACAAAATGTAAAAACGACCATTTCATATATAACTATGAGCTTTATAATTTTCACAGGTCCGCGTATTTTCCGTATTTTCCGCTTACGAGTGACATGTTACGAAGTTCGAAAATTTCCCACTATTTTCATTGTTGTTGTTTTGAAAATAGGCTACAAATGGTCTTTGCATGGTTCGTATATAAAACGGAATTATTGTTGGAAATAAAACGAAAACATTCAAAAGACATCTTGCGATAATAGTATAATTTATTCGAGTTTTATGCTTGGACTATAATTTAAAAAATATCGCTTTTACACTTGTCTTTCGCGCGCTTATTTACATGTTGTTTTGCCGTGTATTTGTATATCACTCTGAATAAGACCATACAATAAACAGAGCATTAAACGGTTGCGAGAAGATATGGATTTATGTTCTCGTGTCAAAAACAATATATCATGCATGCACTCGTTCGCTCGGCTCACTCGTTCGAGATATTGTTTTTGTCATGCACTGGAACATAAAATCCATATCTCCTCGCAACCGTCTAATATTCTCTATATATGTGAGAATTAACTTTACATATATGAATTGTGAAATTATTATTTCATGTCGAAATGGAACACTTTACTTTTGAACAGTCACTTCTCAAGTGAAATTACACGTGAAATTTTCGTGCACATGCACCCTGCATATAAGTGAAGTTGTTAGTGTATACAGACGTATGAAATGGAACACAACTTTTAACTTGTCACATGATTTTCTGTGTATCTGGTGTTATTTAGATCCGGGTCGGTTGATCAAAGATACTCCAGAGGTCATCCCAAATCCGGCACATACAGGTATGTTATCACTTATCAATATTTTTTTAAAATTTTATACCTTTGTATAATTCAGGAATTTTAATAATAATTTAAATCAAATACCATGGAAAAAGGTGAAAGTTTTAGAAGAAAAATAGATTTTAATATATTTTTCTATTGTTTCACTATTTGAAACTTGTAGACCACTAGAGCGTTATGACCATGCATGTATGCATATGGTTACTAACATCAATATATATAAAAATTATATAATAATCGCAAAACTGCATGACTACCAGTGATCTCTGTATAAAACTGAAACGATAACTCTGGTTTTGTTTTTGAAGCCAAGAAGGCGGGAATCGAAGGCCGTCTTGTAGGTATGCCCAAAACCCTATGCGCGCAAATTTACTCAATTTATCGCAAATCATCGGCATCGTTTAATGTAGAAAATTCATAATTGTTCAGTCGATTGATATTTTCTTCTGCTAATTAATTATACAATGACCCTAAAAAACTGTGGCGAGTAGGCCGCCTTTCAGAATAAGTAAATTTTAGAAACACTTAGTTAAAAAAAAACAAAGTTATTTGATGAGTAAAAAGCATGTTCGAGTAAAAAGCATGTTCGGGTAAAAAACCGCGGACTCAGCAAACTTTATTTGTTTATATGGACTACTGTATTTATATGATCGAGGGATGTGAAAAGAAAACAGGATAATATGGATTGCAGTTGCATCGATCTTATCTTTTTGTTTAGTTTTTAGCTTTTAAGGAAGTTATTTACCACAAAAATTAGAATTTACGTGGAAAAACTGAAAACTGGACTTTTTCAGCTAACGCGAAGCCAACGCGAAGTACACGCGTGTTTTATACCTACAAGAAACCCTCCATTGGCCGCAATGTTGGCTTCTCCCAATCATATAGGGCCTTTTATTAGGAGTTATCGTTACAGTATTTATACAACACACTTGTGACTGCATAGAATACTGGCGATTCTCGTTCCCAGGCGTAAGTTCGCACTGCGAGAACTGACCCTTGCAAATGATGTCACAACACATAATTTTGACGTATCTCTTTGATTTCCGCCACTTTGGATGGAAATATTCAAATCGAAAAAAAAACCTGTACTGTGTCAATTAGCCGTCCAATTTCCCCACATTTCTTCAATATACAGTGTACTGCTGTGGATAATGCCAACCATTATTTCTGCAACCCAACATCGCGGATTTCTAGCGTGACGTAATATTCTCGCGTGACTGCAAGCTCTGAATATGTTGTGAAATACATTCCATTTTGTAACTTTTTTCCTGAAGTATTGCTTTGTATCACTATTTACATTAAAAAATTCAACTAGTGAGGGTCTCACAGCGGTTTCCAGGAAACAAGGAACAAGACATAGTTTGCAATGGGAACAATGCATAGTGAAATCTTTGTGGGGAACAAGGGAACAAAGGAAAAATTTCCAAGTGAACATGGGAAGAACATAGACCCTCGCTGGGAGACCCTCACTAGTTTCTAAAGAGAAATGAAAAGAAGTTCTGTAAGTGGCTATAGACAATCTATACCATTTGCTGGCCGTACGATCAACTGGACAGGTGGGAGATCTCAATCTTTACGTTCCCAGGCGTTGGTCAATAATATATTATAACCCTTGATCCAGGGGCCAAGTTGCACACTGTATATAAAGGTAGTGGTTAAAAAGTAGTTAAGACTTTTATACATCTGCGGCGGTTGTATAGAAAGGCCGGATAGCGCTACCAATGGATAGTGATTTTTTCAAGCTTTGTTAAATCAGTCGTTGATTAGCATAACTCGTATTAAAGTTTAGTATTTGAAAGTTAAATGTTTTTTATACTTCTTGTGTCGTCTATATCCGTAGTTTCGCAGTTTTCAAGCACTTTTACAAAGGTTGAAAAAATTACTATCCGGTGGATAGCGCAATCCGGCCTTCGTACAACCGGCCCCACCCCCCTGGTGTTTTCCTACTTATGGTATCCCATAGCCATATGTGACTTTCAAATGTTTTTCTGCTTCAGATAAATCTCGAGTGTTCATTGTTCATTACAACCACTGCGGGATGTGCAAAGACGTCACTCATGCACTCGCAAATTTGCTAGATAGAACTGGATACGTTAAATGTGTTGTGGATTTCTGTAGTGATCACGAGATTGCGAAGAGAGGAATGAGCTGGTATGAGGAGGAGATAAAGCGTTGTGATAAAATTATTGTTGTTTGTACTAAAGATGGAAAGATAATGTACGACGACAAAGAGCACAAAAAAGGTTTGTGTTGTTTCCTTTTACTTCCACACGAGTGTATATTTTATTTACGTGGAGGTATAACCAAGACTGTTTGATGTTGTTAACCAGCAACTCCAGTTTTAGATAGCTAACCCCACTGCCTTCACATTATTTTTGGAGTTAGCCTGTAACTTCGGAGTTAGTCTTAATTCATGTTTTGAACGGTCCACATTTTCAATTTAAGCCTCGTTTACACTATGAATTTACCGTAGCACGTTGATTTGCATCTGCAGTGCCAAACGTAGTGGACCATGGCAAACACTCTGTTATGGTGTAAACACAATTCTATAAAAGAAATGTGGTGAATATTTAACGGAATGGTAGCCGTATGTATATATATCGTTAAGTGGAGACGCGGCGTTAGACTACGGAGATAGCATTGATCCATGGCTCCTTAACTTCTGCAGATATGCATTGCTATAATTTCTTCTACACTGAAAACCAGTTCTTGTTGTTAGTGTCTTTTACCTTCCACTTCGATATACTTTTTCCTACATGTCGTTATGACTGCCCTCAGCTCCATGCGATAAAAGTGTTGCAAGTTTGATTCACCAAACACCGCAGGTTGTCTTCTGACTTCGGAATCCTCATAATAACGCTAAATGATATGGAGTGAGCCGTACTGGACTTTTAAGAACACTTAGAACTGATGCTTGTATCTCATATGAATAAAAGAAGTGTTTACTTAATTTTTCTTTAGTAACTAATTTTATCAGGGTGACTTAATGGCTCTCGGTTGAGAGTATAATTTTATATAGGCGTGCAGGTATAGTCATGAAACGTTAATGAAGGCCGGGTATAGGCTAGGGTGGCAATTAGGCGTGGGGTGACAAAGTGTGGAGGGTGCAACATCTTCCATAAATGCTTGGTTCTAGCCATTCTCAATTAGTGTGTTTTCAAGAAAGGATTTACCTTGAAATAAAAGATTATGATATCATCAAGTACAGATCCCTAAAATAATTACCATTCCCGGTTATCACTATGCAATCTGCAAAGTAAGGGTCCCCAAATCGACATGGAATTTTATCAAGACGGATTCAGCTCGTTGAAGCCCCAACAAGGCGGGCGCAATCCCCTATGCAATCACATACATGCCCCCTCCACTACATCCCTAATATTATATGACCGCTTAATTTAATTTGTTTTTATCTAGACGGCCAATATACTTTCATGCTCAACATGATGTTAGGACAAATGGTAAACCACCATAACAGAAGTCTTCAAATCGTTCCAGTTTATTTTGACATTTCTTCTAATGACGACGTCCCATTCTTTCTAAGTGAATATGAATGTTATTCTTTACCTTCACATTTGCGAGACCTATGTTCAGCTCTTCGTTCAGAAATTAATTTCCACGTTGACTCGAACATGGACGACACTTCCAATGATATGATGCAGCACATTAGTAATTTGAGAAGTGCAATCGAAATCATTGGACGAAATCATAAAGGGTACAGGAAGTTGAAACTAACAAAAACAACGTCACTATAACATGAAATATACAGTATCTTAAACATAGATATCTCATATACACTAGATAGTGCATTATACTGCAATTCAAAAATTGAAGCCGTGATTGCAGTCTCAGATCGTTCTCATGAAATTAGAAGATTCGCATGTTTTCTCTTTCTTAAACAGGGAACTTAAAATTAAGTTAAATCTATTCCAAATACGTTTTTAAACTATTCAAATGATGAAAGTTATTGCTGTTTTTAAGAGTTTATTAGCAAGTGGGAACGACCAACATGGCCGCCATCTATTCAAATGGGGGTAACCGCTGGAATGTTCTTGGTTTCAATTTTACTAAAAGAGATGCGCTATCTAGTGTATATAAGATATCTATGATCTTAAATCATCAAGTGGCGAGGGCTTTGAAGCGTAGGGAAAATGTGGGGTTAATTTAAGAAAACAAAAGGTTTAATGAAAAGCTAGATTGAATTGTTATCGCCACTCTATTGAATTCATTAACCACTCTACTGTACTGTACAGGGTGTTCCAAAATAACGAAAACTATTGAAATCACTTATTGTTAAATTTGAATGCCCTGCCAAACAGCTGGACGTAATGATGCGTAAAATATTGACAAGGTGCATGTATTAGAATTTAGTTAGGAATATCTCCTGGTAAAGTTCGCGATTTTCTGCTCCTGGGAATTAAAAACAGCTTCTTAAACAGTTCTTTATGCATAAAATTTACTTATGACAATCATTTATGCACTCGTGGGAACCAACAGAGCGCTAAGGCATTCAAATTCTAACAATTAAATTGTTATTGATGATTTCAATAGTTTTCGGGTTTTTTGGGACACCCTGAATTCATCAGTGACTTTACAGACTACAGGGTGTTTAAAAAAAACGCAACCTTGGAATTTCCTAAGAAATCCACTTTGCAATTAAATAAAAGATTTTAGGCCTCTGGGAATTTAAATCGAATTGCTAATAGATCATATTACTGTTATTATGCCGTACTTGTAAAATAAAAACTCATTAAGTGTCATTAAATAAATACGTAAATTTTGTTTTACGCACTCGCGTGTACAGTAATTTTGACAGGTGTGCTATTTTGAATTCCCAGGCACCTAAAATCGTTTGTCCTTAAAACGATGTCGATTTCTTGGGAAATTCCGAGGTTGCGTTTTTTTTATACACCCTGTACAAGGTGTCCCAAAAAACCTGCAAACTATTGAAATAACATATTGTTCGAATTTGAATGCCTCAGCACTCTGCTGAACACACAAGTGATAAAAGATTAACATAAGTAAATTTTATGCATAAAGAAACTGTTTAAGAAGCTGCTTTAAATTCCCAAGAGCAGAAAATTGTGCGCCTTTACAAAGGTATTCTAATTTGTTAATACAGGGTGAGTAAAAAAACTGACACCTTTGTTATTCAAATTAGCCGCGAAGGTATCAGTTTTTTTTACTCACCCTGTACAGTATGCCTGCACCCTGTCATTATTTTACCCATCTTTGCGTTCAGCTTAGTGCTAAGGCATTCAAATTCTAACAATACGTTTTTTCACCAGTTCAGTCGGCTTTTTGGGGCACCCTGTAACAGGGTGTATCAAAAAACCTACAAACCTTTGAAATACAATATTTTTAGAATTTTAATGATTCAGAACTGATTCCAAGCGTGCGTAAGCACAATAGTTGACCCATTCGGATTCGAACGCCTTGTTAGTTTTCTGCATTACAAATAACTTTGTGTTATTCTAAATTCTATCAACGCTTTCAGGAGCAAATCCCAGGAGCAAAATCTTAGCGATTGTCCGCATAAGGAGATAGCTCTCGTGTGCGGGCGGTTTACGAACGACTTATGCATTCGTGCCACGTACGGCAAATATCTAACATGTTTGATAATTTCTGCCTCGCGTGCCAAAATCATTCCATGTGCGGCGAACGAAAGCTACCTGCTTGCGGATTGTCGTAACAGCGCATGCGTAGTATACGAAAGTAAGCATTCAAGATAGCGGCGCAAAATGAATTGCTGGCTGAGGCAATTTTAGAGGACAAACTTGTCGTGATAATGCTGTTCCAACAACTTGTCTACAAGCTTGCTACAAGCCTGTTGAGAACATATCTTGTTGACTAGTTGTTGGAACAGCATTATCACGACAACTTTGTCTTCTAACTATATTTGCCGTAAGTGGCACGAATGACGAAAGTCGTTCGTAAATCGCCCACACACGCGAGCTATCTCCTTACGCCAACAGTCACGAATTAGATTTTGCTAAGCACGTAGCTCCAGTATCCGCCAGCCTTTAAGCCCGGCGCACACTAGAGCCATGTGCTTAGCATAATGTCATTCGTGACTGTTGGCGAAGGAGAAAACTCTCGTGTGCGGTGCACTTTTGTAAGTTTTTCGTCACTCGTGACGCAAATATCCAATGTGTTGAATATTTTTGACACGAATGAACATTTCCTCCACGTGTGCGCGCTCGAAAAGCTCGAAAAACTTTCATTGTAGATCGAATAGGCATGCGTAATAAAACATAAGAAAAAGAAAAATAATTAATCAGGAATGTGAAACTTGAGAAGCGACATATGGATATTCCTCATTAATTATTTTCCTTTTGTCTTATGTTTCATTACGCATGCCTATTCGATCTACAATGAAAGGTGATAGCTTTTCGAGCGCGCACAGGGACGCTGGAACTGGGGGGGCAGGGGGGGCGGCTGCCCCCCTTGCCTTTTGCTAGGGGGGGGCAGGGGGGGCAGAAGTGCCCTTTTAGTTGTAAAATAATAGGTGATAAATCACATTTCCAACGATGCTTTTTGTAGGAAAATCACGAGATTCAGGTAATTTATAGTTTATATTTATAAA